CAACTGCTTTTGCTCACTTTCACCCTGTAATCCATCCATACGTTCACACATATACTCCCCAAAACATAACTATACTTGCCCTCATGCTTCCATACAAAACTTCGCATGAGTCCTCCGATCCAATCAAAAAAGAAACTCACTTGTAAAATTGGTGTCCGAGTCCAAAGTTCCGCCATAATACAGCCTGCGCCCCACATATCGATTTGTGGACCGTAATGGCGTTCACCTAACAACAATTCCGGAGGTCGGTACCACAACGTTACAACACGATTCGTATAACAATGCTCTGGTTGACCTGAAATAAACTATTCATTCCGAACCGCTCGACATTAATTTCATACATGACTGATACCGAAACGATTCCACACTGATCGTTCCTTTACGAATTTAAACTCTTTCATATATTCTTCACAAACAACGTTGGAAGCTCTGAGCACATGAACGAAACTTAAAAAAATGCACTGAACGAACCTGGAAGTCTTGTGAATAACGGCCTTGCCAAACCGAAATCAGCTAATTTCAGAATTCCATCTCTGGTTATTAACACGTTTGCGGCCTGCAATTGAAAATTATTCCGCATCAGAACAAAGTAAGACAAATCACTGACCATAGATCAATCATTAACCACTAATCACCTCTGATCGGAAATCCTAAACATGCTGTTAAAAGCTTCTTTAACCTCAAAATGCTCAAACACAACAACAATATCGAATGTGAGAATATACATCAATACAGCTCACAGCTTCAATAACACCTATGAAATAAAGGCTAACAGTAAGCAAAAAGAACTGTATGATCAAAATTAAATAACTTTCCAAGAACTAACTTTCATATCACGGTGCAGGATTTTTGCGTAATGTATTTGATATAAACCCTCGAGGAGATGTTTCATCAACGTTTTGATATGTACTAATGATAGACGAACACGTGTGTTTGATAAGAGCCCGGCCAGATCGTGCTCACAAAACGAAAATACCAAATAGAAGGTGCTACGTTCACGATTGTGTGATGAAGCTGAAACTCATGAATGACACTCAGTCAAATCAACTAAAAGATTAAAAGCTAAACAAATGGGTGAACGTCTCTTCAATCAACTCACTCACCTCGACTGCTGCAGATTTCGATGAGCTCGGTTATGTGTTTATGCTTCAATTTCTGCAACATCTTCACCTCTCGTAGGGCAGTTATTGGAAACTGAAATTTTGAAAAATTAAAGACAAAATTCAAAATTGAGTGAAAAAAATCGAAATGTTGATTACTTGGAATCAGAAGAGGAAATCGCCTAAAAGAAATAAAAAAACATACTCCTTCCTTTTCGTTTTCCATGAGGATTTTTTTCAACGCCACCAACTGACCATTTTTGCGACACTTTGCTTTAAATACTTCGCTGAAATAACACAAAACAATCGTCTTATGTCACCATTTAACTCTTTTTTTGGTATGTAGCCTCAAAATCAACACTTTATATTTGGATTTCAGAATACGCACAGAAAGAATTCGTTCTTTCTAACAGCTGTCGAGCAATTCAAGTTATACAAGACATAAGTTTTACAAAATCCACTCACCCGAACGTTCCTTGTCCAATTTTA